AAATACTAAGAATACAATTAAAAAATAATAATAATGTTTTTATTTTAACTAAGAGCAAAAGGTTCCACCTAAATAATTACCAAGAGGGTAATTTGAGTCAAATATTTAGTTCTCTTAAATTAAGAGAACTCATTTATTATTTTCGATATTTTTTGTTAGAGGTAAATAAAATTAATTATTGGAGACTAATCAGTGAAAAAAATAAATATTAGTACACGTGTAAAAACCTGTAAAGTATGTCTTATTGACAATAGAGTAAATCATTTGAACCTGCAATAGGCTATTGTAGGTTCAACTGATGTATTAAAAATAGATGTATACATAATAGCATTTAGATAAGCACAATAATTATGTTATACTATAATGTAACATATAAAATAACAGAGAATTATTCTCAATTTTCATTTTGACTGAGTTTAATTTGCTTGCTGTGTTACGGTTAGCAAATTAAAAAAAAAAAGTATATTAATAGTACTGAATATTAAACAGTATTAAATACTAAATAGTTCACAAAAGATCACAAATCGTATCTAGTCGAAGACATTACCATCAAAAATTGAAAAAAATTCCCTCGTTCCCCGTAAATGGGGGAAACCTCCAAAAAAATTACAAATTTAAAAATCGCTAATTTTCGAAATTTTTTCAATTTTTTTTACTAAAATCTGCCGTAACTTTTTCAAAAATGAACATATCAATATAATTTTTTTTTATATAGATGCTTGATGTCTTTACCTATCATTTGGTATATTTTTTTTATAAATCTGACTTTTTACCTGCCCACAGGAGGGGATTTGAAATGACAACTTTTTTACAAAAAATTAATTTTTTCAACTTAACTTTTGAAAGTGTTCCGGAAGGTCTGACACTTTTATATATATCTTAAATTAAAGCTAATGTAATATACTTTATTATGGAAAAAAAAAATTTCGGACTTTATTTTATCTTCATGGTGAAAATGGCTACCGAATGCTATTTTTGTGTGAAAATTTTCGATTTTGTATTTTACATTTTTAACTTTATTATGCTATAACTTTTTGAAAAATGTATGGATCATTACAATTTTTTTATGAGAAGTAGTAATTATATAGATCTTTCATTCGACATACTTTTTTTTTTAAATCGGACCATTTCCCTTAATACAGGGGGGATTGAAAACATAAAAATGCATATAGAAAGTAGAACTTTTTCAACTTAACTTTTGAAAGTGTTCCGGAAGGTCTGACACTTTTATATATATTTTAAATTAAAGCTAATGTAATATACTTTATTATGGAAAAAAATTTCGGACTTTGTTTTGTCTTCACGGTGAAAATGGCTACCAAATGCTATTATTGTGTTAAAATTTTTGATTTTATTTTTTACATTTTTAATTTTATAATGCTATAACTTATTGAAAAGTGTATTGAGCAATATAATTTTTTTATGGGAAATACTATTTTTTAATAATCCCTTTTTCATTCGACATACTTTATCTTAATCAGGATATTAATAAGGAACTAGCAGNTTATCTTAATCATATTAATAAGCAACTAGCAGTTTATGAAGCTTTTGAAATAATACACCAATTTCTTTAAAATTAAACACTATCTAAAGATTTGCATCGAAGCGTTTATTTTTGATAGTGATTTTAATCACTGTCAGATATCATTATACTTGATCCAACTATACCACGTCACAACTGTGCCGCGACCCCCCTGTGCTGGGTTTTTTTTTTTCTGGAATGCACAACAAGCCTGTTGTAATCGGCATCTTATTTCTTGAGCGAATTTTCCGTCATCTGTATCAATGCTCCCCAAATAATTATATTCATTGAATACTTCTAGTGTGTCACCATCTAAATTTATATCCCAATTTGCTGTTTGATTACGACCACAGACGAGGATTTTAGTTTTTGACTTATTTATTTTCATATTGTATTCATCCTTGAAAATAATATTCATGGTCGTTAGCATAGTTTGTAACTTTATTTCTAAATATATAATTTATTTAATAATATATAATATACAGAATTAATCAAAACGTTATTATTATTGCAGCTTTCAAGCAGGTGTAATATTATTGTATGTATAAAATATATTAAAAACTAAATGTAAGTTACAATAATAGGCGATTTTTTATCATAAATGAGACTGTCTTTTGAAACAATGATAAATTATATCACATTTGATAAATGTGTTTATTGTGGAATATCAATTGTGATGTATTCTTAAAAAATGTAATAAATTTAAGGAATGAAAATCAATCAATATTTAGTCTACTGGATAAATCATAATGATAACAATTAATGGAGTATTAATTCTTTTTATTATTACTATTATTATTGTTTCATGTAGTTTGAATCGCGTTCTCTCATTCAGTACAATCACTGTATTCTACATGTATGACACTTCTTCATACGTTTATTTGAATTCATTTTCTTAAATAGACATCTTTATATTTTTAAAGCTAGTTTAATATGTAAGTTGCTAAAAAAAATTAATTTGGTACCCTTTTAAGAAATAAGGGACGGATTTAAGAAATATTTAATTACTTATAATTTGTGACATAAATACTACTCAATAAAGCTTAACACAATTATTTTCAAGATAATTATTATTTAGGTGAAATTTAGCTGTCCAATGACAGATCAATCACCCTGTAAAGATATTTAAATATTTTTTTAGTAAAATTTTATTCAATTTTTATTTAACAGTTTTATATATTTACTTATATATATAAAAGTGTCAGTATTTCCGTAACACTTTCAAAAATTATTAAAGGATCAGATTTATTAAAAAAATGTACCAAATAATAGGTACATACCTCACGTATTTATAAAAATAAAATTATATTAATTTGGTCATTTTTGATAATGTTATGGCAGTTTTAAGTAAAATAAATTAATAAATTTCAAAAATTAGTGATTTTTAAATTTGTAATTTTTTTGGAGATTTCCTCCATTTACGGTGAATGAGGGGAATTTTTTCAATTTATGAGGCTAATGTCTTCGATTAGATACGATTTGTGATCTTTTGACGTATCGTTGAAAGAAATCGGTTCGGCGAGAGCAGAGAAAAAGTGATAACAGACAAAAAACACATACCATAGTAAAATTAATACCTTCTCAACTTCACATGTTTGATAGATATCAATTTTAAAAAATACTGATAAAGCTAGTCCAAGGGGTCGATCACCCCTTAAATACGCTCTTGGTGTTCAAAATAAATCATAATATTCTAATATTAAAACTATCTTTGGTATCAACGATATAAATAAATTTTTATTATGAAATTATAGACAATACATTGAAATGTTTTAAATATATTTTCAAAAAAAACCCAAATTTAAATTTATATAAATGTAACTTAATCCAATACATTTTTGTAATTATTTTCAATCATTGTTAATAATTGTTGTTGATTCTGGAATTTCACAATTTTCAGTATAATTGCATTTATTTAAGTATTTTATAGTGCATTTATTAACACGGCTACCGAGAATTGACGGGCGATTATCGAAATTTTACCGTAAATCATTTAAAAAATAACGTTTTGATTTAGATGAATATAGGCATCTAAAGCAAAATTAATTATAATTAACATTAAGTATAGTATAACATTGATAAGTTTATTATATTATATCTTTACATTAAATAAAAAATTTGACTTGCATTTGTTTAGTATTTAACCTTGTCAAGTGTGTGAAATTTATTAATGGTTCAAGAAAATCTATATTACATCATTAATAATATTTAGCTATATTCATATTATCGGTTATTAGGTCAATCGGTAAAAAACTCTTTTACCGAATTTATAGATGTTTTTAATAAGATAATATTGAGATAAAAAATATTGGCCAAATATTAAAATCCGTAAATGAGCTATGTACTTCATTTTTTTTTTTAAAGGTAGATTGAAGAAAAAATTATATTTTTAATAATAATAAAAATTAAAAGCAAAGATTAGAATTTCTTGTTTATAGTAAAAATATTTCTATTGTACTGCTTTTTAAAAAATTTTATTTTTGGAGGTTACAGTTATTGTTTCATACCGATGATGGTATATTTATTTATTACTATTTTTTAAAAACAATTTATTTGAAATAGCTATTTAAATTTAGTACTATATAACTATTTTATCCTAATACTGTCTTCTAGTTGATTTGATCAATGTTTTTGTATAGTTTTTCACATTTAATGTTATTTTAAATTATTAATATTATATATTTAAACATTGATACAAAAAGGATAATTTAGCTCGCCTAATTAAATATACAATCTTGTTAGTATTTTGTAATGCTGTAAAAAAAAAAAGAAAAAATAGGGTGGAAAAAAAATTTAAATAAAATTGGTAATTATGTACTTTCTCTTTTAAAATACTATTTTATTTATCTTCAATTAAAAAAGATAAGGCATTAAATAATTTTGCAATTACCTTATATTCAATTACTTCTTATTTTTTAGAATCACTATTGTTTAAAAAAAATCATAAATATTAATAAGATAATTTATTATTATCATTTATGTTTTACATTAAATACACTTAAGGTACATTGCAATCTTATTTTATGATGGTAGGTTTAATCAATTTGAAAAATCAATATTTTTTAACCTATTAAATACTCCTTGTAGTAGACTTTCTGGATAATTACATTCTTGTATACCTATAACACATTTGTATAATTTATTCCTTAAAAATTACTGTTATGTGTTTAGTAAAAACAAAACCACGGTGACCCAACAATCAATATTATTGATTAGGTCTTTAGTGTTGTGAAACAGTTTTTTTGTTATTGCCGCGGATGTTTCAGAATTCTGAATAAGGTTTTAATATAGCGAATGCTTGACAAAAGTCTGTGGCTGTATGGTAATAACCTACCACTACTTCCACGCAGGTAAATAAAAATACTTTTACTTAAATGATGTAATTTTAATAGTCAATTAAATATTAGTAGCTTTGTAAAGTGCACTCTGCATCAAACAAAATCATGCACATATTACGCATCTATATAATAGGGTCTTAAAGATATTTTAAAAGCGTAAAAATTAAAATTGAGATTTTTTGTTTACTTTTTTCTACTTTGTAATTTAGAATCAATGTGAAGTTATAAAGATATTTTTTAATTTTATCTATTTTTAATTATAATTCTTTTATCAAAAAATTATAATTTGGTATTAAATATAATTGCAATTATTTTAAACGTCGAATGTGTATTATGTTTTTTTTTTTGAAGTAAAAGAAATTTATTATTAAAAAGCTCTTTAAAATTTTTTAATTAAATAAGGGTTGATAAATATTTCTCTTTACTATATATTTTAGAAGCCTTAAAGAATTTAAGTAAAAACTATTCAATCTTATTAAAAAATTAATGTTTCAATTTTAATGGAGTTTTAGGATATTTTATTTATTAAAAAAATATTCCTTATAAAAAATATATTTTTACAAAATAAATGAATAAACTTTAACATCTAGTCGATTTTTAATTTTATAGTATGTCTATTTTTTATCAACACTGAAATAAATAAATTACCTTCTGTGAACATATGATTTAGAATTAAATCAAATCGTTATTATTAAGGTCGATTCTTTCAAGATACAAAAGAATGTAAATAAAAAAATATATTAAAAGAAAATGTATTTCTTTAAAAATTTTTTATCATTTATTAATTTATTCAAAATGTATGTTGTCATAAAAAAAATGAAGTTAACTCCCCTTTATAAGGTATAAAGAATGAATTAAAAAAATTCTTGATAATTGAAAAATCAAGTATTATATAGTACTAAAATATAATATACAATACAATTATTATTTTAAGAGAAATCGAGTGCCTAATGTAAAAATAATCAACTTGTATACTATCAATCAAAATTTAACATTTATTTAACTTTAATCATTAAAATTTCATCATTAATTTAAACTCAAATAAAATTTTTTATCCTATATGGGATGGAGTCTTGCAAATACCTATTGTCATTTAGTTTAAAAATAGTTATGAATTACATAATAAAACAAGAAATTTAGTTATTTCACATAATATAATGGTAGACTACAGAGTAAGGTATTCTAGGGTTCCACACATAAAAAATATGAATACTTTTTTTGCACAAAATTTATTATGTTTAAAAATATATTAAGTAGGGGCATCAAATATATCACTGCCCTAAAGCGCCAAACACATCATAATACTGTTAGTTCATATTAATTGAATATTTTAATATTATATTCTAGTAGTTTTATGCCAGTAACTAAAGTTTTTTTTTATTTAACCTTAGAAAAATTGTGTAAATTAAGATAGGCTATTAAATCAATCAGTGTTATCACTAAAGTTAATTTTTTTTAATTACATAAGTATTAATTTTAATATTCGATTGACATCTTACTAATATTATAATATTTTTAACTTTATTATATAACACATTATTGCGTTCAAGGACTTTCGCGGTCACATTTAAACAATTCTGTTGTACTTATTACTACATAAGTATATATTTATTTTAATATTTACGAAAACGTTACTTAAGTACTAAAAATACTTCTGTTAGTGGTTCAATCGTAAAGTCTGTCATCATGACAGATGTAGTATTCCGTAGATAAATTATAAAAACGCGGCTTAGTTTGAACAAGCATAGATGATGATTTACAGTGATTCACAACTCTATCATAAAAAAATGCTTCGATGCGAATTTTATAAATTAAAGAATAATTTGTTCAATTTAATTTTACAATTATGATTGAAATACAATTTTAAAACTTTTCTAAAAAAATATTAAAGACTTATAAAGTTATTATTTTTTCATACAATATACATTATAATATAATGTATATTCATATTATGTAATAATCTGTAATCGTTCAGTTATACACATCTGCTAAACAAGCAGTTACTACTTCTTGGGAACATGAAGTATTTATTTAAAACTATAACCGCTGTGTTTTTCAACTTATTTTGACAATATAAATATATGATTTTCAAGTTACATGGTATAGATTTTTTTAGCTTCGATGCGAAACTGAGAAGATATTAATTTTACTATGATGAGTTTTTTTTTGTCTGTACCACATCTTCTCTGCTCTCGCCGAACCGATTTCTTTCAATGATACATCAAAAGATCACAAATCGTATCTAATCGAAGACATAACCTTCATAAATTAAAAAAATTCCCCTCGTTTCCCGTAATGGGGAAAATAACCAGTCATAAACACAAGTTAAAAATCACTTTGATAGAATCATTTACAATTACTCCACCTGAACCTATATTAAATTAAAGCTTATGCAATATACTTATTATGAAAAAAAAAATGTTGAACTTTATATTGTCTTCACGGTGAAAATGGCTACCGTACTAAAAAATATGCTATTTGTATTAATATTTAATTTTAAATTCATAAAAATAATTTGTTTTTAATTACTTTTTTATCGTAATAAATAATTTCAAAAGAAATGTTAAAAATTATTGTTTAACTCTTGGTGTTTAAGTAGATAATACAGTTGAAATATTCAGAACTGTTTTCCTAATAGTTATATCCTATAGTTTTTAATTAATTAGTAATGATATAAAAATACCAGCACAGTGGGGTCGCGGCACAGTGAAAATGTGGCATAGTTGGGTCCAGTATAGATAATATTTGACAGTGATTAAAATCACTATCATAAAAAACGCTGCAAATCTTAATAAAATGTAAATCTGTAGATAATGTTTAATTTTTAAAAATTGGTGGATTATTTCTAAAGCTACATGAACTCCTATTTCCTTATTTATATTCTGATTACAAGTTTAATGATTTATAAGTGTAATATATAAATATATATATAAAAATATATAAAGGGAAATGGTCCGATTTAAAAAAAAAAGTATGTTGCATAAAAGAAGAATATAAATAGTACTTATCATAAAAAAATTATAATGATCCATACATTTTTCCAAAAGTTATAGCGTAATAAAGTTAAAAATATACAAAAGAATTTTTTTACAAAAATCGTATTTTTTTTTTAACTTTAATGTTGGTTTTCACCATGAAAACAAAATAAAGGCCGAATGTTTTTTTTTTATTTAAGTATATTTTATAAGCTTTAATTTAAGATAGATATAAGTGTCAGTTTTTCCGTAACAATTTCAAAAATTATTGAAGTATCAGATTTATAAAAAAAAGTAATAACAAATAAAACAAATAATAGGTACATACCTCACTTATTTATAAAAATAAATTTTTATTTTTATTTTAAAAGTTTAAAAAACACATCATAGTAAAATAAATACTTTCTCAGCTTCGCAACGAAGCTAAAATGTCTTAATTATAAATCCCCGTAACGAAGTATGAAACACTATCCTGATCCAATCTTATAGTAAGATAAATTTGGCATTGTAATTTTTTATTACTTTATGAATTAAAGAAAATGTTATTTGGTTAGTTTTCTATTTAACATATTTTTTAGGAAAATACAAATATACTTGAATTGAATTAATCTAAGTTTAATTAAATAATTAAGGGCACATTTATATAACTCTTTACGTTGAATTTGGTTATTTTAGAAATGAGTCCAGTTTCAAGTTAAGATTAATGGAACGCTACGAACGTATAGGTAAGTTAGGAGAAGGAAGTTATGGCATGGTTTTCAAATGTCGAAATCGTGAAAATGGGAAAGTGGTCGCCATAAAAAAATTTGTTGAATCTGAGGACGACCCATTAATAAGAAAAATAGCTCTTCGTGAAATTCGAATGCTAAAAGTAATGACAACAATTATAATTTAGTAATTATTAGTAATTAGTTTAAAAAAGAATAAATGTTTTTAAATTGTGTATATACAGTATTTTCCATGAAAAAATATTAAACAGACCTACATTTATACCTTTACTTGAAAAGCCCTTTACAGAATAATTGTTAAAAACTATGACTTAAAAATGAAAAACAACATTTTTTTTTCTTTTCATGTTAATTGAAATTTAATCCCTTTCCTCTTTCTACTTTGAAATATTATTCACTTTAGTGATGAAAACGTTTATACTTTCAAACTAGAAAATGATCTATCTAATGAAATGACTGGTTTATAACAACTTTTAGACTAGTTTTTTGGAAATTATTAATTCTTTAATATAAAGATGGATCTGATTATTTTTATCTGTAGGTATGCCTGCTATTCCCGTATTATTAAAAAATTGCTAATATCTTTTTAAAATATTAATGCAAAAATTGATAACGACTAGTCAATTTCTAATTAGTAAGTTGGTTAAACATATATTTTTCCATTAAAAATTAACTTAATTTGATAAAATTACAGATGAGAAAGAGGGGGATAGGACAATTAACTTCTGAAAAGAAAAAATATTATATTTCTAATTTTTAAAGATATTGCATGAGTCATAGTTAAACAATCACTCTGTTTATGAAAAAGTCTTCCTTCGCCCATTTCTTAACCCAGTTCTGACTAATCGTACAATAACACTGAGTATTGGAAAAAAATATTTTGCTTTCACAAAGTCTTGGCATACCCTTTCCTTTCTAAATACATTACTCATTTTTATTATGTAAATAAACGAATTTTTTTATATATTAAAATAGACATTAAAGCATCCAAATTTAGTAAATCTGCTCGAAGTATTCAGACGTAAAAGAAAACTACATCTAGTGTTCGAATTTTGTGAACATACAGTACTTCACGAATTGGAGAGACATCCGTATGGTTGTTCAGAAATATTTACAAAACAAATTGTATGGCAGACGTTGCAAGCAGTAGCTTATTGTCATAGACATAATTGCATACACAGAGATATCAAACCAGAGAATATACTGCTTACGGCTCAAGGAGTAGTTAAATTGTGCGATTTTGGATTTGCAAGATTAATGAGTAAATTTTAAGTCTTTAAAAAAAAATCTAAAAATTAAAAAAAACAACAGTGGGATAGTGTTATAGTTTGATAAGTATAATTGATATAAGATTATACAAATATACTATTTTTAGATGATATAGTAATTAATATCACTATATTATTTGAGTAAAAACTCTTCGACGTGAATATGATAATTACAATAAATTGTATAATTGTAATTTCACATATATTTTAAAATTTCACTGAACTATTAAATACTTCTTAAATTATTTGTACAATTGAAAGTAAAGTATTTTTTTTTTAATTGCAATTTTTGAACTTTGACGACCAATTTCTGAAAGTAAAATAATTGAAAGATAGAATTTTTTTTTAATATCATAGTACTCTTCAAGATCCATAATTGGATATAGATTTAACATTTTCACTGACATTCAGGAACATTTTCAAAGGTTGAGTTGAAAAATTCATTTTACATGCGTAAATAGTCAAAATTTAACCTTTTTTGTACTTAGATTTTTCATAAAAATCACGTCAAAGAAAACTAATCTATACTATATTTTTCTGTTATTTTATTAGAATCAGTATTTTAAAAAAAATTTAATAAATTTTAAAATACAGAAAAAAATTAAAAACATGCTTTGTATAGTAATTTTGAAATAATTTTTATATGCTGAAATTTGAGGTTTCTTTTTCAATTTTCGATGACGATAAAATCAGATTCTTTTGATCAATAAACCAACAAAATCGGTCTTGTAAAAGTCTTCCCAACTTCGCATCGAAATTAAAATATTATATGCTTTGTTTAGAAAAAAAGTTTTTTTTTTAAATGCCTTTTATTACGTAATTCTAACATTACTTTATTAATTACTTGTTTTGCATAGATCCCGGAGAAAACTATACTGATTACGTAGCTACTAGGTGGTATAGATCTCCTGAATTACTTGTTGGAGATACTCTATATGGTCCATCTGTAGATGTATGGGCTATTGGTAAGAAATTAGAAAACGAAAGAATGCCATTTGAGATTTTGTTGATTATTTAATCGATTAAAATCCTATTTGTATTCTCTTTTTTTTTGTTTTACATGACTTCAATTTTTATAATTTGTAGGTTGTGTAGCTGCAGAACTGGTTAGAGGCGAAGCACTTTGGCCAGGAAAATCTGACGTGGATCAACTTTACTTAATACGATCTACTTTAGGTGAACTAAAAAGAATTGTGCTCGTTAAAAATAAAAAATATTTTTATATATTATTCTTTCAATAAAATTCCCGTGAAAAAATGTTTGTGTCACCAACAAACCTTATTGATATTATTTTCATAGGCGATTTGATAGCTAGACATATGCACATTTTTAAAATGAATGAATTTTTTCGTGGAATAAGCTTACCGCAGCCAGAATTGATAGAACCTCTTGAAAAAAAGTTACCAAAGCAAGCATTATCAATTCCTCACCTTTTAGATTTTTTCAAGGTAAAACTTAAATTACAATAAATTAAATAGATAAGATATTTTGAATTGTATTAAAAATTGATAATATTTTCTTTCCCAGAACATTGATAAATATTTTCAAAAAAAAAATATGTTGAAAGTAGGTAATTGTCTTAAATATTATCACTGAGAATTATATTTTGATCTATACATTATTCAAATTAGAGATTTAAAAATAATTACCATATCCATCAATAATTACGTGATTGTTGACCTTAAAGGTCGAATACTTAAAGAAGACAAGTCGTTAGAATATTTCACTTTTTTAATCTGTAATAAATTAACTAAGCTACTATTTAATTTAGTTTTCTATTATGCGTTTCATAGATGTGCCAAAAACGTCAAAATCGGGTATTTTTAATAATAATTTTATAATTTTTGACTTGAATGGTCAATGTTTTTTTCTTTTTTTAGCTTCGATGCGAAGCTGAGAAGGTATTGGTTTTATTAAGATGTGTTTATTTATTTATTTTTTTTTTGTGTCTGTTACCACTTTTTCTCAGCTCTCACCGAACGGATTTCTTTCAATGATACGTCAAAAGATCACAAATCGTATCTAGTTGAAGACATTACCCTTAAAAATTGAAAAAATTTTCCTCGTTCCCCGTAAATGGGGGAAACCTCCAAAAAAATTACAAATTTAAAATTCGCTAATTTTCAAATTTTTTTCAATTTTTTTTTACTAAAATCTGCCTAACTTTTTCAAAAATGAACATATCAATATAATTTTTTTTACATAGATGCTTGATGTCTTTACCTATCATTTAGTATATTTTTTTTCTAAATCTGACACTTAACCTGCTCACAGGGGGGGATTTAAAATGACAACTTTTTCACAAAAAATTAACTTTTTCAACTTAACTTTTGAAAATGTTCCGGAAGGTCTGACACTTTTATATATATATATCTTAAATTAAGCTTATATAATATACTTTATTATGGAAAAAAAATTTGACCTCTGGACTTGTCTTCGTGGTGAAAATGGCTACCAAATGCTATTTTCGTGTGAAAATTTTTGATTTTATTTTTTACTTTTTTAACTTTATAATACTATAACTTATTGAAAAGTGTATGAATCAACACAATTTTTTTATGAGAAATAATATTTTTTAATATTCCCTTTTTCATTCAGGATATTAATAAGAAAATAGCAGATAATGTAGCTTTTGGAATAATCCACCAATTTTTTACAATTAAACACTATCTAAAGATTTGCATCGAAGCGTTTTTTTTTATAGTGATTTTAATCACTGTCAGATATCATTATACTTGATCCAACTTTTCACGTCACCGCTGTGTCGCGATCCTCCTGTGCTGGGTTTTTTTTAATTGCATTGTATTAGCTTTAATTAAATATAAATTTAAAAAAATCAAGATTTCTGAAATATTTTCAAAATTCTTTTTGGATTTTCAAAAAAAAATGATGTCGTCGGCCTAACATATGTATAAAGTATTACTCAAAAATAATTTGTAATAATCCATTCAGTTTTAAAATGTTATTTCAATATAACTATAAAAATATAGTAAAATTAAATATGCCGTGACATATTTAGGAATTTTTTTATCATAGGCATGTACTAAATAATTTATAGAATGTAGTGTAGTTGGAAGCTTCCTCTCTTCTTAATTCCTCCTACCATGATTTTTATTTCATCAATTCACTACAGCACATTGTCATGTATAAGATATTACAAATCATATATTTAAAGTTTTCCGTCTTTAAGTATGAATAATCTAAATTATCGAGTAATTTGATATGAGTTTTCAACCACAAATTCATGAAAAGTAAAAAAACAATAATATTAAAATACAAGTAATGTATTCTATTAAATGACATGTATTTTTATTTTAAACAAATATTTTAAAAATTAAACACATAATTCAACTGTACTGTACTGTATATCTTATATAGTAAATGTAACATATAAAATTAAAACATGTTTTAAAGTCTGTACATATATATACTATACATATCATATGTATATGTACTAAGTAAGAAATTTGAACAAAAATTGAATAAACAATGACATTTTATGTTTTTTTGAGTATTTTTGGTCAATTTTCTTAAAACGCGTTGAGCGACCTGTAAAATTTTTTTTTTAAACCTCCAATTTTCATAAAATGTTTATTTTAATGTATATAATAAATTTATAAGGTATCTCATAAACATTTCGAAGATTGATTTTTTTTGCGCCACTATGATATACTATTGTATAGTATATCATATTTCAATCAAAAAATAAAAAATGTATTTATTTTAGATAAATAATAATACAAACAAAAACTTTTCAAGAGTCACATTTTTTAGAATATTCTCCCTTGATCTTATCCCGCTAAATTTACATCCATGTTTCTACCTAAGAATTTTTTTTAAATAAATGGTTCAATTTCAATATACAAATTAGTCCTAACAATAAGAAACTTATTTTCTTAAAAGTTTTATAAAACCCCAACACAAATTTAAACAAATTTTCTCTAAAATTATACAATTGGATTAAATTCTCAAAACAAGTGCTCTTAAAGTGTTAGTCTTAAATTGTCTAAAACTCTTAAATTGTTTTATACTTACTATTAATGATGGGAAATATTGAATAGTAACTATCGAACTATTCGATATTCATTCAAAAGCTTTTCGAAGATTAAAAATATTCGATAGTTACCCAATATATTCAAATAGTTTAAGAAACTATTCGATAGATTTTTAAATATTTATAGTCTATACTAAAATATACTATTTGGTTTGGTTGTATGTAAACAATTCGAATAGTTATTCGATAGTTTAATATATTGGAAAATTACATCAGTACAACATACGTTCAATTTTTATTTAAATAATTAAATTTAAGAAAAATTGTAATTTTTAAGTATAATATGACATGCAAACATCATACACAGTAATACTACACCCAGAGAAAAACCTCGATCTATATAATAAATTCATTGTTCAATTTAATAAATATATCATTACTATTGAACCTATGATATATTTATCAATATGATAATTTTTTTTCTTGTCTTGAACAATAATTATTCATAAGAATAGTTATTTTGTTCGTATTAATAAAACATTATCATAAACCCTTGATAAAATTTCTCTATCAAAATTGATTGAGGTTTTTCTTTGGGTGTACTGATGATCATTCTGATCACCCTCCGGGTACTTCTATTAAGAATATATAACATATTGATGTGAATAGCACAATTATTAAAAATTTGCCACTATTTGCAAATAATTCATATTAATTTTTTGTATAGATGTGTTTAGAAAAAGATCCATTAAGAAGATGGACATGTGATCAATTGTTACGTCATCCATTCTTTGACAATTTTTCATTTAAATACCCAGAAAATGATTTGTATGAATTTGAAAAATTAAAAACGTTCAGAGAAAAATCCAAGGTATTAATTTAGCTCAAATAAGTATGTTTTAAACGTATTGTATAAAGAGAATATTTTGATGAGTGACATATATCCAATAATAATATGTTAGAAAATTAATTTTTTTTTAGAAAAAATATTAGTAGAAACAGAATATTAACTAAAAAATTTAACTAAGCGACATTTTTTTGTCCATGACTTCCTCTTTTTGATACCTAGAAAAAATTTTATGAATAAAAAGAGTTTTTAACTTAATTAAATGAACGTCCAAATATTATAATAATTAAGTTCTAGGTGGCATAAAATGTTGATGTTGAATGAATAAAATTTACGTTACCTAGTTTGTTAGTTAAAATATTCTACGAGTAGAAATGTATAAATTATTGTTTTATATTAATAATTATTACCAAATCCTATTTAAGAAGCGGATAACAATTCAAATGAGTTAGATCTTATGTATGAGGCTAATATTAGCATTAAAATTAAAAAAACAGTTTTTGAATTAACAAATTGAATATTTACTAAGTAGTATTGTTATATATGGGTGTACTATTTTTATTTGTTTTTTTAGAACGGACATTACATAAACATAGCATCAACATTATTTCCTCAAATCCCGAGCAACAATCAAAGTCCAGATTTGGCAAGGCCAATAAAAGTACCTCAAAAACATTTTGACCATCTACCGGACATCTGACCAAAAAAGTAAATTCAAGCTTAAATTGAGTCGATTGTATATTTTATATTATATACAACGATAATAATTTGATAATAGTGCCTTATTGTAAATTTAGTATCCAAATATGAATTTTATCGTTATATAATTTATAATTTTCAAATTATCACTTACAACAATAATAAACGACACCCCAGTTCAAAACTGAAACAATTAAAAGAATTTAGATTTTGAGTTTTGATCTTTAATAAGTTGTACTCATTATCAAAATTTAAAGTTTATAAATTAAATTCAATATAACTTAATTATTTTTAAAAAAGGACGTTTTTAATATTGAATTTTACATTTACGTGTAAAATATTTTTGAAATCATTGTACAGAAAATTTTGATTTTTTGAGTTGACATAGATTTGAACTTGGGCGTCAATAAAATAATTTGTTAACAATTGATTACCATAAAAAGTACCTGTGCTTTATAACATAAAGTTTATATTATAAAATAGTTTAATATTATTTTCTAATATTTTATTCACTTTTTTATTAATATTAGAATACATTTTAAACAATTGTATAGGTTTTTTTATTGTAAACAATGAATAATTTAAACATTTATGACTTGTTTTTATCTTTAAAATAAATAATTTCTTTTGAAATCAGTATTATAGAGTTAACTAAAATTAAACAATACATTATATACACAAGAAAATATTGGATGTGTTATGTAATCAATAATGTTAACTATGAGTTAAGTTGAGTCTTTTTGAATTTATATTAATTACATACTGGACTCTTGAATTGAATATATTATGTTGAACATTGATACATTTCAAAACAAGAAATAAAAAAATTATAATAAAAATATTAATCCTCTTGATTTAAACCTGTAAGGGTTTAAATTAATTTGAATCCAAATTTAACTACAACCAATATTCTTAGAATGAGAAAGTGGCTAGTCACATTAACGTTATAAAAAAAGAGTTATGTTAACCCCGTAAATATATTGAAACCAATACTCCACTAGTTCTAGGTGAAAATTTATATGCAATCGTGTATAACTACAAACTTACTTAGGATCAAAATAAATATCAATATAATGTCAAATTCATTCAAAATTCACAAAACTCAAATTTTGTTAAAACATAAAAAACTGTTGTAATTCTGGAATGTTACAACAAAATGATATCATTCTTTAACACAAAATCACAAAATACAATACGATTTGATGATTTTAATTTTACAATTTTTTATCGTAATACCATACAAGATGTAAATATTGAATAATATGATCGGTACTAAGAGTTTGTTCAACACTAGAAATATACAAATTGGTGGAGCTAAAAATGCATAAGTATTACATACCTTTAAATGCAATTTTAATCTTACTAGAGTAATTTGTTTTAATGAAATAGAAATTATTAAAGCATTATAAAAACGATTAATTTTGATCTCAAACACTCAGGGGCGTAATTAAGAGATAAATCCCCTCAAATAAAAAATAATTACACAATGAAGATCATTTTTTCGAAAAGGAAAGTGAAAACTATTCTTTATTACTCCCTTCACAATAAAACTTTAATTATCCCTATTTTCAACTATGGTATAGTGGTATCTCTCTTTACAGTTAGTCAATTATTTTAACCAGTTCTTCGATATATATGTAAATTTGATACAAAAAACTTATATTTAGTATTATTTAAAAAAATATTTAGTCGGCAATATTAATTTTTTCGCCCCCTCATATTTTTTGCTACGGAACGGCTGTTATAAGTTATAGTGGTATCCAATATTGGCTATTTTATAGAATAACCCTGTAGTTCGTTACCTCAATTTATTATAAGCCATTGATAATTACAACATTTTTTTTGCAAAGCCCCCGTTCCATTTAATATACATGTGATGTTGTCACGTTACCATTATTGTAAAATAGTATAAAATAAAACTCAGACCGCGAATCTGCTACTATCGACTGATGAATTGACCATAAAAAATAATTATCGCGAAATTAGCAAACAATCTATTTAAACCCAAAGTAATTTGCTATCGTGGTTATTCGACTTCAGTGCGTAGCCTTGTTCTTTGAGTCATTTATCAGTTTCAGTACTCGTTTATCGATGTCCGACTTTTTTAATCAAGTCAAGAGTTTGTTCATTCGTTTTGACGCTCACTTACTTTTGTCCTCTACATTTCAGAGTACTTATGCCTTACATTTCGTCTGCATCTCATACATAAGTGTCACCCTTATTCCCTTCCTATAACAACGGACTTCCGACACCCACAGTGACTCCGGAATGTCAGCCGAACGAAAATATCTACTCTCACTCAACCAAATTATTATCATCATCATCTTCGTATACTCAACCCATCCTGGCTTTCGATATTGGTTTGTTTTGTATTATGACATACATAATGCATTAACATAAAAAGGTCGCAAAAATGATTATTAAATATTATTTTTCGTTTAATTAAGTGATTTATGATAATTCAATCACTCTGTATTTCATGTAATACATCATACATATATGTATCATTATTTAAATATATAACCGGTTTCGAATTAATTATCATACATGCTTATAGATATTACAAATGTTGTTATACAACAAATGCCGTAGAACACTTAATGTTATATGAATAAATGAGACAACGTAAGTAACCGGATGAATTAATCTAATTTAGACTGAACAATAGAGTAATATTCATAGATATCATAAACATAATAATTAGTGATGGGAAATATCCAGTGCTCGCAATGGAAAATTTTTTGAACCGGAACGCATTTTTTTTTTAATACATACTAAAAAAAAATCAAGTTATGAGTGTCATTGATGAATGAATTCTCAATTAATGAATGTAATCCACATATACTTTTATTATATTATATGATAATCGTGCACATCCTTCAGCACACATACTCATTATGCCAATCTAGTATGGATTGTATATTTCAAATAAAAAAAAAAATGTATAAAGAACTATATATAAACTTTTCTATATTTATAACTCAAAAAGTACAGCATCAATACAATCAAATCCGTGTCCATCCAAACAATCAAGTAATGATTTAGTAATAGTTTCAGCAGAGGTATTAGAGAGTTCAATTAAGTCAAGATTAAAAGTATAAGGTTCACAGGGAAAATCTTCAATAAATGCACGGACAACAACTACTAATGTTGTTAATTTGCTAAGAGTAGTTGACTCGTCGATTAAAATAGATATTTTTGTTTTAGTTAAAATTGTATTTTGGCAAATAATTTTTTTCAGTATCTAATCAGTTCTAAAAACTTTTTCAGTAGTAATTTTGATTTCAATGCATTTTCGAAACTTTTTTCTATCGTTTTTCTTTTGATTGTTTATGTAATTCTACTGATTAGTTAAGATGTGAGCGTCAAATTTTTTGTGTTCAAATATTTTTTTTCTAAGACTAGACATTTGGCCTTTTTTTGACTTTCCATTCGAAATTATAGTACAGTATTGCCAAGGTTTAGAAAAGCGAAGGGTTTTATCAACAGCAGATAATCCTAAATTTGTAATATTTTTACAAATCAAAAACCACCTAATGCTTTATTTTTAACTACTAGTTACTCGTTTACAGTTTTGAAATTCTCGTACTGACCTTTATTCCAAAATCGGGCAAGTCACTAGTTTCGTGGAGTTCCATATTTTCATTTGATTCTTTAATACGTGATGTATATTCACTTTCAACGCACGGTCTTTTATTTGCAGTAAGATCACATTCATCATTAGACTTTGAACGTTTATTTATCCAATTTAGTAAAGAAGAAGAACTCATATTTTTCGAAATAATACACGAAATAATACACGCTATAAAATAATGTTGTACTTTACGATCAGCAAAATATAATGCAAAAATTACTGCAGCTAAAACGATACTGAACGGCGAACGCTAATTGAAACATACAAGTATGTTTACTTAGAAAAATCAAAAAATTTTACAATTGATAACGGGGCACGTGGCACGGGGGGATGTCGAAAAGTCTTATGCATCGGTCCATATTAAATAGTATTTCTTATCGCACGTTAAAAATACCCATATGTATGTGAGAATATAGCCAAATTACTATATTGGCAAACGGCGATTATCGTATACATAGATAAGCAATAAATTTACTTATGCGTCGTGGTCGTTCGACGTTTTTTATCATTTCAATAATTACAATTCTGCAAAATGTTTAAATTTTACCAAAGTATGGTACGGTACACATTTGAAGGGTACAGGGGATAAACGGTAATAGTCCATTTTTGTAAATTGTTCAGGAGAGCAAAAACAAAACACGGACTACAGTCTTTCTTCGCCAGTATATATAGTTTTTTTTGTTTAATAACAGCGGACTAAAAGATTTTTTCATCTAATTGATTTCAAAAGTCAACACTACTCATATTCTGCTATCGAATGAAACTATAATATAAAAATTGATAAAATTGGACTATTACCGTTTTTCCCCTGTACCCTTCATTTGTTTGAAACGGAACGATAAATGTATTTTTTTTACGAGACGGAACGCTAAAAAAATTTTTGTCGTGAACCGGAACTGCGTTCCGGTATATTTCGAGCCCTGAAAATATCGAACTATTCGATAGTCATTCAAAAACTATTCGAATAGTAAAAATATTTGATAGTTTATACTAAAAATAAAATATTCGGTTGTATAAACACAATTCGAATAGTTAATCGATAGTTTAAAATATTTGAAAATGCTCATCACTAATTTTTTAGCTTCGATGCGAAGCTGAGAAGGTATTAATTTTACTATGATGTGTTTTTTTTTTTATTTTTTTTTTTTTTTTT